AAGAGGGCAAGCCCTATCCCTAGCACTTTCAACCCTAGTTGACCGTAACCCTAATGCTTTTAACCCCTAGCGTGATGTAACCCTAACACTTTCAAGCTTAAAAAGTTGGCAGACTCTATTCACTTTACACATTCATTGTACAGTAACTGTGCTCTGCGTAGACATTTCGAACATTTTCATTTGCTTTGCATTTGGATTCTTCATTTTGCCTGGGATTCAATTGTTGTGGATTGTACAGGGCCTGTGCAGTAAAGTAAGCATGGTATCTCTCCCCTCGACTTTGTGCCCTGCGTTTCTGATATCCTTTTGACTAAGCACGCTTTCTGTGATAGTTTTGCTTTTTGTCCATTTCAGTGAGAGCATGTGCTTCTGGGGAGCCATTGCTTATTGGACATCCAGCTGCTTTGCATTTGTTTATGATGGAGTTTACGTGCCTGTTATTAAAGAGGTGTACTGAGCTGTGATCTCTGGCTGCAGCATTCCTTGAAAAGGTGAGAGTTTTTTTTAGGATTGGTCATCCCAAAAGCATGATGCATGGCTTCACTCTTTTGGGTACTCATACCGTACCTTGTTTTTTGTAAAGCCTCATGCCCGATTCATTTTTCCACGAGTTTTTTAGAAAGAACCCGTTGGCATTGGACAATTTCAGCTTTCCCCTTACATGTAGCGTGGCATGTAAGGAAATTTATAATTGCCTTTACAAATTTGTGAACCTTTTCGGCACAGACTATGATTCCCCACATAGCATTTTGGGATGGCGTTTGAAACCTTAGCTGCAAACTTTTTCTCTATCTCAACATTTCCGTTACATTTTGGAGGATTGCACTGCCTTCAGCTTGTGCCCGATGACTTACATCATCGCGAAAACGATTTTTCAGTTGTCGTTTTTGTCTCTCGGTTCTATATGCATATTGGGGGAACATAGTTGTACTGAAATTGGTATTACTGACAGCAGAACATAAAGACCTATTCAAATGAGGACAGTCCAGTTGCTCCACAGGGTCCGTGTCGGTTCTGGTCCTCATGTGGGATTTCAAACGAGCTGCCAAATGCCTGTCTGCATCGGTGGTCACGCTGCTCACTAACAGGGACTCCTCACTTTGTAGCATTTTCGCAGCACATCTCAGTCCCCCTTCCTTCTCGTCTCCCATGTTAAATTCAGGACGGCGTGTAGCTGTGCATCCTTTGCGTCCGGGACACTTTGTTTTCTGCCCTTTTGCTCGCTGCATATCTCGACTCTTGCAGAGTTTGCTTTCGTGATGATACATGAACACGTACTTCGAGGGGGTGACATTTTCACAGACTGTGTCTCTGGTTTGTGTTGCTGGCACAAAGAGAGTTTGTTTCCGGACATTTCTCAGTGGGTTGTTATGCAGGCTATACATCTCAACAGCAATTGGACTCTCCCTCTCGAATCCGTGTAGCTCGTGGATGTCTTTCACAGTTCTCCTCTTTGCAGCTATGTCTTGCAGGTTCTGCTGAGTTATAATTTCATCGCATTTGTGTGCAATCTTTTGCAGTCCCCTTCCTGAAGGAACAGTCGTGTCCATAGCTGCCAGGAGCCTTCTTGCACCTGCTGCTGCGATGCCAGTATTGTAGAGTCCAACCTGGAGTGCCGTGTTTGGAGTAGCAGTGCGTCACCCAGGCCCCTTTTGAGGTATGTCGGTGTACAGGTTTTGTCTCTTTGTCATGAATCCACACTTTTTGCAGTGCATCACTTCCGAAACAGCCAAGCCTCTGCATTCTTCTGCCTCTGGCATGAGTTCTGGTTGGCTGTCACACCCGGGATGCAGTCTTTGGTGGTCAAGTGCAGCCTCTCCACCCAGCTGCAGTGCTGAGCGTAAACTCACAAAGTGATATCCTCCTGATTGATTTGTTCCATCCTTGGGCTGGAGCTGGTCGAGTGCAGTAATTTCTGCAGTTTTCGGTCGGAGCAACATGACATTTCTACACTTGGCCTCTGCTGTTGGTAGCGCCTGGCAGAAAAACCCTCTTTCGTCTCTAAAAACAGCTAGCTCAAGCTGCTCAAACGTTGGTCGAACATACCAAGGCTTTTCTGTATCAGTTGCATCCTCACTGGCACAGTGCAAAGTGTTGGGTGACAATTCATGCTTCTGTTTGACCAAGTTCTTTTCTTCTTAAAAATTCCCCATCTAACTCGACCCATAGTGTCAGAGATAATATTAACCGTTGGCTCGTTGGTTTTCTTTGGGTTACTTGAAATGACTGATATTATGCTTTTATTAATTTTGGTCCATAGTGATAGGGTGTTTTGTTTAAATTGGTTTCTAAGTGGCCAAGAGTGAACTGAATTTCCAAGTGAAGGTCACCTGATACATCACAAGTGTTTCTGTGTGTGTCTCCTTGGACAGGCGGCTGTTCCCCTGGGGGCAATAACCTGATTGTTTCTGTGTGTTGCCAGGGTCATATTTCAATAAGGGGATTCTTGGCCAAATGAACAATCTGAATGATTTACCATCAAAATGTGCCCTTTTCCCATTTCAAATCACTCCTTTCCAAAATTATGAAGGCAAGCCCAGGGGCTCTTTTCTCACAGCAATAATTTCAAATGCAGATGTTAGCGGTGCTTGTGCTAATGGGAGGGGGGAATGGAAGGCCTGTTAATCACTACTGTCATTGACTAAAGAGACATGTTTTCAACACTTCTTTCAAATTGAGATTGGATTCCCACCCCAACCCCCCTCATTTTGAATGAAATAAATGTTCCAATTAATTAGGAAACTGTTTAGAAACCGTCTAAAAAAATATGTGCACCAATCAAACAACCTTCCAAACCCAACAAATCACAGACATTTGCCAAACAATGCGTCTAGGAGGTGCTGCATCATTAGAACGGAACATTGCTACTTGTGTGCAGTGCCATGAGAGAAGGCAGCCTTTGCTGGCATAGACTGTGTAGATTGCTGTAGGCTGACCTTGAACATTTTGGCCCATAAATGGACTTTGGATCGTTTTTTTGAAATTTTGGCCCCATATGTGTAGACTTTGGTTCATCCTTCACCCTTTAGTGCAGTTTTTCTGTTAGGCAGTTAAATTTTGGTGTATATAAAGGGTGAACTGCCAATTCAAGGGAAATTCTTCGCCAGGCCAAGGCACTCAAAAAGTACTCCTACAGTTTATTTGTGGCCCAAGAAATTGTGTGATTGTGGAAGAATGGCCCAGAATGAACTCCCTAGATTCAAGGGCTCCCATCCCAGGGCAAAGCATAGAAAAATGCCTCTGAAAAATTGTCCCAAGAGCCTGAACAAGTGGAGGGATGTCATTTGAGAAATGGCCGCTGACAGACTTGGGAATGTTCACTTTTTGAGGGGTGAGTTTGTTTTGGGTGGATAATTAAAAATTTCATTTTTTTTTTAACCTACTAAAAACTGAAAATCTATTGAAAGCTGAATGACCCTAGAACACCTTTTTTTTTTTTGAGAGGCCTGAGAGACTTTGGTTGCCCACAACGGGGCTGCAAACGTGGTCGATTTTACATTGTCTTCGATGGGACTTGAATTACATGTACATGTAGTTCAGTGCACCCTATATATATTTCAAAATGGCGGCTTCCATGGGGGCTTAACTTGTAATCTTAACTCGGGTTTGGAGTTCCAGGTAGACAGTTTTTTGATCTGTTACAAACTCAGCAGTGCTTTTCCTTATTGACAACAGTACTTCACAGGAACACTGTATAAAGAGTTTACAATATGCAGTGTCTATGTACAGTTTGTACCGGTGCCGTGTAACACATACTGAAACCAGACTTTCAACTTTTCAAACTTTTCCCTTAAAGTTTTCAACCATTGAAACTCTTCGGCATGGGCTTTCATTTGTTTGATCCGTTCAAAATGGATGAAAACGATGTGGAAATGTGGATGTACATGTAACTGACAAAGGGAAAGTCTGGATTATTATTTGTGTTCTGACTGTCGCTTTTTGTTTCACATCAGTAGTTACAAAAGTAATGGTCGGTTGATAACATTCATTTTGATCAGACTTTCTCCTGTATTCTTGGCTTGGGAGGATGTTTTTAGGAGGGAAATAAAGTTGACTGATCAGATTTT